TTTGTCCTAGAGCAGGTGACGCCGGATTGCTCCTTGGAGTCAAGGATTCTGAAGCTTCATCTGACATACTTCGGGCATGTTGCAAGGAGGGACTGACTGGTCTTTGGAGAGGGACATCTTGTTTGGCAGAGTGGAGGGGCAGCAAAGGAGAAGAAGACTTTTGATGAGTTTTATCGATTTTGTGACTGGAATGGTGGGAATAAGTGCATTTGAGATGGCTAGGTTGGTACAGGATAGAACAGCCTTTAGAGCTCTTGTACATAGGGTCACTATGAATTGCAAACGACTCAATGGCCCATAACAGAGCAACATATAACCAAGTGTGTATGGGGGGACGAGCACAGTGATACCATTTTACCTTCCACTGTGTTTTATTTAAATATAAAGCAAAACCAAACCAAACTGATTGCTGTCAAATAGATTGCGGCTCATAGTGATGCTGGGTTCTGAAGGCTGTAAATATTTATGGGAGAAAACTCCATCTTTCTCCTGAGGAACAACTAGTAGACTTGAATTGTAACTGAGTAAAGCACTACATAGCACCAGATCTCATCTGTTACAATAATGATAATCAAAACCCCTCGAAATTTCCTGCTGCCTGGGCAAGTCGAGTCAGATTAAAAATTCACATTGTTGATAGATGCCATCAAACTGAGTATGATTCATAATGACCCTAGGAACAACAGGTCTGAATCCCATCCTATCCTGTGCCACCCTTATTATTTCAGACTTGAGCCCACTGCTGCAGTCACTGTGTCAATCCATCCGGCTGAGGGTCTTCTCTCTTTCTGACTCTCCACTTTTCCAAGCATGACATCCCTCTCCAAGAAGGGCCTTTCCTAACAACATGCACAAATAATGTGGGATGAAGCCTTCAAGGAGCACTCTGGTTGCACTTTCTCCAAGACGTATCTGCTTGTTCTTTTGGCAGTCCGTGGGATATTTAGCACCCTTCTCCAACACCACAGCTCAAAGACATCAATAATTCTTCTGTCAGCCTTACTAACTGTCCAGCTCTCAGATGCACAGCAAGTGATGGGAAAGGCCAGGGCCTGAATTAGGTGCATCTTAGTGCTCAAATTCTTCTTTCTGCTCTTCAGCAATTTGGAAAAGTCCCTGACTGCACACTTCCCCAGTGCATGGCATCTCCTGATTGCTGGTAACAGAAGTGTTGATTCACTGTGGATCTAAGTAAGATGAAATAATTGATCATTTCAATCTTTTCTCCATCTATCAATATGTTGCCTCACAGTCCAGTGGTTAGGACTTTTGCTTTGATGTTGATATGTAATCCGTATTAAAGGCTGTAGTCTTTGATCTTCTTTAGCAAGCGCTTCAGGTCCTCTTCACTTTCAGCAAGCAAGGCCATATCATCTCCATAACAGGAGTTCACTGAGGATTCTTCCTCCAACGCCGATGCCATCTTCTCCTTCTTTACTCATAGTGACCCACTACCAGGTTCCCAAGGCCATAAATTTTTGACTGGAGACTGTCTATCTTTCAAAGAGCAGGTAGTGGATTTGAACTTCGAAACCTCTGGTTAGCAGTGCAACTGGTTACCCACTATGCCACCTGAGCTCCCTGCATTAATATGTTGTTATGTACAGTTAAATCAGAAATGAATGCCCATATTTTTCCATGAAGCAGCTGGATTTGACCCTTGTGCCTTTGGGGTGGCAAAGCAACATTTTACCACTAAGCAACCTGTTATTAATCTACTAGCGGCTCCATGAGAGAAAGATGAGAAATTTCCTGTGTGGTTTACTAACTCTGAAAATCAGCTGAAGGGGCAGTTTTGAGTTGGTTCTGACTGGACAACAACGAGTCTGACGAGCATTGAGTGTTTTTAATTATCAATTTATCAAGTACATTTACAGCTACTCTCGTATACTATGTTTTAGGTAGGACAATATTATTAGCAGTGCCATTTCACATATAAAGATATAAAGTATAAAAAAGGACAAGTGGCTTATAAAAAGTCACTGAAGTAAAACAAAACTGAGCCTAAAACCCATGTCTTAGACTCTGAACACTTTTCTCTTTCTATTACTCTTCTAGGATAGACTTCTAAGACTCAATGCCTGCTATTTTAAAGCCAAAATTTGCAAACTTCACTCTCTTGGGTTGATTTAACCAAAGAAATCCTCTGTCAATGACAAAAGTTAACTGCTGGAGGAAAAAGAAATAACAAAACAGAAAGACTGGAATTTTAACCTGTATTAGTGAAAATTTCAAAAGCATAAATATCAAATGAAGAGTCTGAAAGAAAATCATTGTGAAATAATCTCTAACCTCTAAAGAGTCTGAGGAAATAACTGTGTTGTCTATTTCCTGTAGAACAGGCCCAATTCTAAAGCCCTTACATGTAACTCTTTTCCTTTATTTGAAGATTTAGGGTGAGTACAAAGAGTGAATTGTTTCATGATACATGTTTGAACTAGACATCAGCTTTGGACCTTGGATCATTTGTGAAATCCATTCATTGGTTCCCATGATCAGTCAAGGCTTATTTTTATTAACGTTTGCTTGTAATAGCAAATGGTACTGTGTTACCTGACACATCTATCATTAGTAAACGTGCTCTAAAAATGTGAATATGCATTGTACAAATTAATTCCTCTCAGTGTTCTCTTTTTTTTTTTTTTGTGCTCATTCTTAATGCCACTAATCCTTCTATGTCACTGCTTTTTACCTTCAGGCTTTATCCTGAAAATGCTATTTTGACTTTAAATGGTTGTAGGTACTTCCCTAAAACTACTTACTACCCATCTTAAAAGCCTTCCATTTTGGCTGAAAGTTAAGCCATGACAATGAGTTTTGTTTCCAGATTGAAGTGTGACTACAGACTAGAATCTTGGGGGTTCCACCAGCTTCTATTTTTTTTTAAAAAAAGAGCTTTTTAAATTTACCTAAATCTGAAACAGGATCCATACCTTATACCATACACAAAAATCAACTCAAGGTGGATCAGAAACCTGGGAGAAAAGTACAAAACCATAAAGTATATGAGAGACAAACTGGGATCAAGCTTAGATGGTTTAGTCTAAGGTATAAAGAGACTGCCAAATACAGCCAGAAATGTTCAACCTGGAGAGGATAAAATTGATGAATGGGACCTTCTACAGATAATTCCTGTGAAGATCTTAAACTTTTTTACAGAGTGAAAAGAAAACCTACTGACCAGGAAAAAGCATTTGGCAAATACCATTTCAGATAAGGGTCCCATATCAAAAGTTTACAGAATCCTACAGGTCCTCCACAAGAAAAAGACTGATCACATAATTACAAAATGGGCAAAAGGCACAGAAAGACGTTTCATAGAGGAATAAATTTAGATGGCCAACAGATACATGAAGAAATGTTCAAAATAACTGGCATTATGAGAAATGCAAATCAAAACCACAATGAGATGCCACTTCACACGAGTAGCAGTGGCAAAGTTTCACAGGACATCAAGTAACAAATGTTGGAGAGGATATGGCAAGATAGGAACTCTTATATTTTGTTGGTGAGATTGTAAAATGGTACAACCACTCTGGAGGGCAGTTTGGCACTTCCTCAAAAAGCTGAATATAGAAATTCCATATAACCAAGCTATTCCACTGGTTAGAATATATCCTGAGAAAATGAGAACAGGGACACAACTGAAGACTTGTACTCCAATGTTCATAGCAGCATTATTCACCATAGCAAGAACACAGAAACAGCCCCTAAGTCCAAACACAATCGAATGGATTGAGAAATTATGATTCATTCACATAATGAATACTATACAACACGCAGGAGCAATTATTGTGTGTATAATTACCTAACTGAAGAGCATTGGGCTACGTGAACTAACTCAGTCCCACAGGACAAATACGGTATAAGACTATTATTGCAGAACATATATGTGGATCCAAGGTGAGGAAGGGTGGGGAGCAGAGGAGTGAGGATGGGGGTTGTTAATCATAGGGTCATACAATCTGATGAGTCAAGAAGGGGTGGGTAAAGGAAATGGGAAAGATCTGCTGTGAAAAACAATGTATATGAACCTCGTAAGTAAATAAACCAGTATAAAGTTAAAACCTTATTTTAAATTTAAAAAAAAATAAATTCGTTAAATCCAAACCAAATCCATGTCCACCAAGTTAATTCCAACTCACACAGACCCTCTAGGCTTTCTAAAGCTAAAAATCTTTTCGAAGACAAACTTCCTCATCTTTCTCCTGAGAAGTAGCTGGCTGGTTCAAACTGCTGATCTGGTCAGTACCGGAATGAATTAAACACTGCACTACCAACATGTTTCCAAATAAATTTTGGTTGTATTTTAATTATTTACATATATTTACAAAGAAACTGAAGGCTATATTTCTACAGTCCAACACAGGAGCACAATCATTATGTATAATTCAGCCTAAATTTAAATTCAATAATAGTAAGCATCTCAGCTATGACTTTGTTCTGACTCGACGAAACAGAGCAACAATTATTGCAGTATGTGCGTGCACATACATACAACCCCAACTAGTGCTGATGCTGGGTAATTAATTCAACTAAAGATATTTTCACAGTATCCCAATAAAAATAGGAGAAAAAAAACAATACCCATCCTGCTAAAGCAAAATGTCATAGCACAACAATTTACTCTGGTCAGTGATTCAAACATATTCAAGGAAACTTTTTTAACACAATGGATGGTAGCTTTCAAAGATTCCATGATTCTTAGTTCAGTCTAAACATAAAAATTAGTCTAAATATTTACTTATTAGGTAGTAGACTTACCATGGAAATCATAAATATAAAGAAGGATTGGCTCATTCTGCCCAAATGCACAAAATGCCACCATATGTTCAAGTGGGTGATAAGAGATGTCTCGAATAGGTGACTTGAATGGAAGATCAGAATACATCGCGACTTGTTCTCCTAAAGAGAAAAGAGATTCAATAATTTATACTGGTTTTGGTATTTCTCATTATAGTTATTTTATTATTTATAAAGAAATATTTGTAGTATGTTATGATGAAGCTCACATGAACAATAAAAACTTCAAATACTTAATAAATATTTGAGTGCCATTATATTAAAATTAAGAAACCCTAATAGCATAGGACAAAACTTAATCAAGCTGTCAACCGAAAGCTCTACAAGTCAGAACAAGTCAGCTGCTCCACAGGAGAAAATTGATACTTTCTTCTTATAAAGATTTGCAGACTCGGAACTTCAATGCAGGGTTGCTACAAGTCAGAATCAACTCAGTGGTAGTGGGATTGGTTTTGGTATTAAAATTTCTATTTCACAGAAACCTCTCTCTACATTTCTCAGTGTAACATCATCAATAACATTTTCAAAGTACAAGATAGAGACAAAGAGTTCAGTAAGATGTAGAGGGCTGACCTGACTCTGTGAGTTCTGACAAAGGTCAGCAAGCTCTGAGAAAGAACTCTGCCCGGAACAAGGGGAGGAATTACAGGATTCAAAACCTGAACAAATTCTCTGGTTTTGTTGGTTTCTGTGAGAGATTAATTATTATTTTCTACCCAGACTGTGTGAGATATCTGTTTGAAAGATAGCAATGCTTCTGAATGGCTAACGAGGCCAAAAGCAGAGGATTATGGGTCTATGAAACCTATGAATATCAGTGGGATGATCACAACAAAGTCAGAAAATTAGACTCATTTATTGAAGGCACAGAGACTTAATACTTCTGAATTATACAGACAAAAACCCTAAGTAGTCAAAAAGCCTACGGAAAGGTCAAGAGTATAAACAAGGCTGAAATAAATACTGATCACTCCTTAAAAACTTTTTAAGAGAATTTAATAAAATTGTTTCAATCTCTTACTTAGAAAATGTTCATGTAGTTTTAGCTTTTCATATAAAAACAAAGATAAAGCACAAATAAATAAGATAAAAATGTTAAGGCCTATTTTATTTAGAAGAAAACAATTGTAGTAGTTCAGATAAATTGTTATTTGAGTTTTAGGCACATTTGAAATGAATGCTTCTTTTTCTAATTAAAATAAATAATAGGTGCTTAATCATTTCTACACTTTGCTACATTCCTGTTTCACTCTATAGTATTTTGTATTCTGATATAGAGTCCTCATGAAATACTTTTCTAGAATTAACAATATCTCATTAGAGGTAAGGAATGGGTAAACTGTGATTATTATGTGAATTCTAAACCTCTGAAAACAGTAAAACAATAAAGATCAGAACATAGTATAAGCTTAGCTTAGGCTGCAATGAAGTTTTACTTATTGGTTCAAGAATCTCAAGACATACAAATGAAAATCTGAACCTAGTATTTCCTTGAATATTATTCAAAAAAGCATGAGTTTTCACACTTCTTCAAAAAACAAACATAAAACGCACAACAACTTTTTTATTACTTACCTGTTTCTGGGTTCCAAACATACACCATACCATCCTCACTTCCAGCAAAAAGAAATGTCCCACATGGAGTCAAAGTACTATGGATCTTCTCGCGATAATTTGCAGCCCCTACGAATTTTCTTGCCGCTAATCTACAGACAAAAAGAAACTATTTTACACGTGTGACCTGTGTTACACATTGAAGAGAGCCAGTCACTCACTCCCAGCCACTGGGCTGGAAATGAGTCCTAGTCGACCATCCACTGGGTTCCCAAGGCGGTAAATCACATGAGAGGAGAGTGCTCGCCTTTCCCCTGTAGAGCCACTGGCTGACTCGAACTGCCAAAGATGGGCCACCTTTAGGTTGGCAGCACCATTCCCATAGGACTCCCACCCAGGGGTCCCTTATAAAAGCTGCTGTTGCATGCCTTCAAGTCCAACTAACTCACAGCTGACCCTCCAGTGAGTTGAATTTTGGAGGCTCAAAAGTGCCCAAGAGGAAGGGAGGTGGTTTATCTTTCTCTGGAGGTGCACCTGGCGGGTCCAAACTGCCTGCCTTTGGGTTGCCAGCACACAACTTCTTCTCACTAAGGCCACAAGAGCTCCCTTTAAGAAAGCGGTTTCCAAAAAATGATGCTGACAAAACTGCACTGCTACCTGCCTCAAAAATCACACAAAAATCACCTCAAGATAGATCAGAGACCTAAGGGTAAAACCCAAAACCATAAATATCATAAGAGAAAAAATTGGGACCAAGCTTTGAAGGCCTCACCAATGGTATAGAGAGGCCAACAAATATAGCCAGGAATGAGACCTTCTAAAGATTAAATTCCTTTGTGCGTCAAGAACTTTTTTCCAGTAGGTTGAAAAGAAAAACCTACTGACGGGAAAAATGCAACTGGCAATACAATCTCAGACTAGGGTCTCATAACAAAAGCTTACAGAATTCCACACAGCCTCCACAGGAGAAAGACTGATAACCCCATACAAAATGGGCAAAAGACATGGAAAGATTTTTCAGAGAGGAAGATATTTGGATGACCCACAGACACATTAAGAAATACTCTAAATCACTAGTAATAAGAGAGATGCAAATCAAATCCACAATGAGATACTATCTCACTCCAGTAGCACTGGCAATGTTTATTTAGCAGGGCAGAAAGCAATAAATGTTGGAGAGGATGCAGAAAGATAAGAACTCTCATACACTGTTGGTGGGACTGTAAAATGGTACAACCACTCTAGAGGCAGTTTGGTGTTTCCTCAAAAAGCTGAACATAGAAATTCCATATGACTCAGCTATTCCAGAGCTAGGAACATATCTCAAGAAAATTAGAACGGAGACATAAACAGAGATTTGTATACCAATGTTTATAGCAGTATTATTCACCATCACAAGAACATGAAAATAGTCCAAATGTTCAAATAATCAAATGGATTGAGAAACTGGTATAGTCACACAATGGAATACTACGCAGCATGCAGGAGCAATGATTTACAAAATTACTACATAACTTGGGGGAGACTGGAGGGTATTATGCTGAGTGAACTCAGTTTCATAAGGATAAATACTCCATAGGACCATTATTGTAAAAAAGATAACTACTACAATGTGTGTGGGGATCCAGGGAGAAATACATGAGAGCAGAGGGATGATGGTGGGCAAGGGAGAAATCATGGGGTCGCACAATTTGAAGGGTGGAGGGAGTCGGGGGTGGGTAAAGGAAGTGGGTAATATCCAGTGGAGAACTGAAAAAGAGAAGCAATGATGGGCATGGTTTAATTGAGATTGATTTTATAAAACATGAATGAGAACAACTGTATGAAACACAATGTGAATGAAGGATAGCGTGAAACACAAGGTATATAAACTTTGTATGTAAACCAATGTAAAATATTTTTTTAAAATCCCAGAAATACCAAAAAATTTTAAAAAGC